GTAGGACTTGCTTCAGTGGGGCTTTGGTGCTCACTGAGTCTGCTTCTTGAGTGTGTCCCTTATGGATGTGAGGAGTTGAAATCTGGTATCTGACCACTGGGTACCCTGGCTCCTGGATCTCCAAGTCAACCACTGTGTGAGTCCACCCAGCAGGAGCTACAGTGATATCAGCAGATTTCTCCTCTTTGTTTGGGGTTTGGAAGTTTTGGAGCTCTCTGATCCAGCTGCAGTTTGTTAGATTAGGCGGCAAAAGGGCAGGCGGTTCCTTTGCCCTGCTTGGGGGTGGGGATGTAAATTGAGTGGGGCGGGGTCTCAGAGAATCACCAGGGTGGAGCAAACAGCAATGGCTGTTGTCAGCCGTCTCCGTGACTCCTCGCATCTCCGCGTCTCTGCGTCCCCGAGTCCCGCGCCCCCACAGCAACAATGATCCCTGCAAGCAGCTCTGCGAGAAAGCCACCCTCGCTTTCCAACCCGCTGCAAGACAGTCCAGTTTCTCCCCATAGGAGTTCTGGGTCCCAGAGTCTCGCCGTAAACGAGTTCAGTGCATTCGAGAGCTTGTATCCCCTTCCGATTGAAAAAACCGCACACCCAGGTGCAGCCCGCCTCGCGTGTGCCTCCATACCTCTGTTCTTGGCGCCTCTGCACCTCCTACCCGGTCTCAATGTGCTTTTTTCTTTCCTTCTAGTTGTAGAACTTCCACTCGGCCAGCTTTCCCGTGGTTCTGGATGATAGCTGTTTTGTCTTTTAGTTGTAGTTTTAATGTGTTTGTGGGGGGCAGCACGTACAGGATTATACCTTATGCCGCCATTTTGGTTCTCCTTAATTGAGTTTTTGGTGTGTGTTTTTATGTTTGTTGAGTTGTATGAGTTCTTTATATATTTTGAATATTAACTCTTTATCGAGTATATCATTTGCAAATATATTCTCCCATTTGATAGGTTGCCTTTTTGTTTTTTTGTTGGTTTCAAAGCAAAAATAAACAAATGGGACTACATCAAATTAAAAAGGTTTTGCACAGCAAAGTAACAACTACTTTAAGTATTACTCATTCCCATGAGGCCGGTGTGGATCAGTGGTTGAGCATCGACCTATGAACCAGGAGGTCACGGTTCAATTCCTGGTTAGGCCACATGCCCGGGTTGTGGGCTCAATCTC